TGCAGAAAAGATGCATGAACTACAACTACATCTTGTACAAACTTGTCTTATACATATTATATGTTCAGAAATGATACGAGGAAAATGCTTTTTAAAAACAATTTCAAAAGTCAAGGTAATTCAAATTCAAAATTACTGAAGGTATAACACCAGTAGACTATTATTAACTATAAATGTTCGGTAAAAACAGCAGCTTTCAGCTTGTCACCATGATGCAAACATGAAATATCAGACATGCAGTAGTTGTTACAGGTTTTTTATTAGATTAAGCTGTTTTCCATTGTTTTTTCTATGTAAACATGGACATGTTTGGCTGTTGCGCTCACGTCTCATGCATGAAACGGCAGTCTAAAAACGCGGCACTCAAGTTAAAAGAAGTTCACTCCCATCTTCTTGCATGTTTTTCCTATTCCACTGCCCGCGTCGCACCTTTGTCAACACAAAAACGCATTCTGTGTGAATGGCACCTAGCGATATGAACACCTCACATGTGAGCGGTTAATCACGTGCGCCGACATGCGGTTGGATCGTTTTTTTCTCTTTACTGTTATCATTGACATTGTCAAAGTGTCTAATTCTAACGTTTGGTAATATGTCTAGGGCTGCCCTCGACTAAGGATTTTTCTGGTCGACTAGTAGTCGTTCATTTGAAGCATTAGTCGACTAATCGCGCATTTATTAATAAACCATTTAAATGGCGCCTTTAATTGCCTCAAGCACATGCATAAAGCTTGCCACAGCACACCAGCATAAGTAATGATTATGAATGTCTCAGGGAAAAACAGTAAGGAGGCTGCATTAACATTTTAAAAATGTATTAATAAACTAGTGATATCTTTGTTTTCAGCTTAAGTGATGAAGTTGGCGACACTGACTCGTCATCTCTGCAGTAGTGGAGTATGATGCATGTTTCATACGGGGATTACATAATCTGAGAATAGGCCTATTTGTTTTCCATTTGAATCGGTTCATTTGAAAGTAGATATTTCGCTATGTTTTTCATATCTGTAAGGCAAGCATACACGGAGTTTCGCGCTCAAGTTCACGGAGACCGAGACGGCAGAAAGCGCATCCTGTTTGCTTTTATTATTTTACAAAAGCGCAATGTTTTGTTGTTATTGTGAGTGCACACAAATAAACGTAGAGTCTTTACAGATTCAAAAGATGTATTTTGAATCTCTTATCTGTATGAGCAAAAATGTGGGAGTATTTTAAGAGCAAGCGAGCGCACCGGTGCCTTCATCTGTCCTGCAGTGAGCGCACTTCTATATTCCACTTCAATAGTGCACACTTCTCTAGGATAACATTAGATTGAGCGGCCATGTAAAGTTTCTGCTACTTACATATTTCAGATGATAAGCCATATTTGAGGTCGATGAATGATTGGATGTCCTGCCCGATGTACTGTATTACCACAAAGACCAGCCATTAATGATCTGTCATGAACTGCGTGACTTCAACTGTGGATTTTTTATTTTCTAAGCGACTAATACAATTTTGGTCGACTAACGGTTAGTCGACTATTAGGGGGCAGCCCTAAATATGTCCATTCAAAATTCCTCGATTTCTCGATTTCTAAAAAATAAAATCGTGGCAAAACATTAAATTCGAATTAATCGATAAAATCAGAAAAGTCGCCCAGCCCTAGAATGTATAAAATCGCCTTTGTGCTGGTGTTCTTCAGCAACACGAGGTGATTCTTCAGAACGGTCAGCGGGCGGGGTTTCTGATCGGAGATGGAGCCGGCGTTGGGAAGGGCCGCACTGTGGCCGGAATCATACTGGAGAATTTCTTAAAGGGACGGAAGAGAGCGCTATGGTAAACACCTGCATGCATCTCTAACGCTCATGTTCAGTCAAACTCATTTGACTGTTCATCTAACAGAGGGATCTTTTTCTGGGAATCTGCTCTGTTTTAGGTTCAGTGTGTCAAATGACCTGAAGTACGATGCTGAGAGAGATCTCAAAGACATCGACGCTTCCAACATCCCTGTGTTTGCTTTAAATAAGGTTTGAGAACTGACTTGTCACTGCTTTTTTTTCCATCTATATTGTACATATTAGATCAGGGTTTTCCAAACGTGATGGATCTAAATAGGCTTTGTGAGCTGATGAAAAACAAATAATTAAATATTAACAATGTAAAATTTACATAATTAAAAAATTAAAACAACCGAAAAGTAATGCTTGCTAAAAATACTTTATTTTATTCATATTTTATTTAATTTTTTTTAAATATTAAGAAGTTTTGTTTTTTTTACAAAAAAAAAACTTTTACATTAATAACAGGATAAAAATACAGGAGAATAGTGAAAAAATATTTTATTAGTTTACCTGCATTTTATGTGACCATCAGCTTTAATTATATAACTATAATTATAATTATAGTTATAATTATGTATAACTGTAACTATAATTATATATATTTTCTTCAGTTTTCATTTTAATTTAGTTTTAGCAATTTTATGTGCTTTTGTTATTTTTTAAATTATTTTATGTATTTCTTAAATATTTAAATATTTCTAGTTAGCTTTAATTTATTTTTATTTCAGTTTTAGTTTGTCATTTTAATACTTAATTTATTTCACTTAGTTGCCAAGGCAACATTTGTAATTTTTGTTTTTATTTTTAATCTACTTATTTTTTTATTTCAGCTATATTTAAGTTAATGACACTTATTTTTAATAGTGTTCGTTGTGGTTTCAGTTAACAACACTGCCTTGAACCTGCAAATATATGGTTAAATAGTTGAAATATTAACTTAAAATCTCAGAAGGACTTCAAGTGAATTTTATGTCAAAGGGCTTCAGCAGACAGAAATGTTTGTGATGCTGTTAGACAGTAGCCATAAAGTTACAAATAAGGTATTACAAATACTCCCGTAAATATTAAAGTATCCAATGAGAACATCACAATCACAAGAGCCAATGTCTTGTTTTCTGCTGAATGCATTAGCATGTGTTTTGTGCAAAGTTTTCATTTACTCCAATTTACTGGAATAAAACTGTAAGTCAGCTGAAACATTTATATTTGTGTGAACTAGTAATATAAAAAAAAAAATCTACTTTTATGTCTACTTCATTACAGTAAACGTCTTGTTTTGCTCTCTTGCACTCTAGTTGGTAGCAACTGAGACTTTGTTTCAGTCTTGTTAATTATTTCTTGTTGGGTCATTAAATGTCTATGTCTGCTTTTCCTCTTTCATGCAGATTAAATACGGAGATACGGCTACCTCAGAGGGTGTTTTATTCGCCACATACTCAGCGCTGATTGGAGAGAGCCAGGCCGGTGGGCAGCACCGCACCAGACTCAAACAGATCCTGGACTGGTGCAAACCCAACTTTGACGGAGTCGTATCCTTCACTTCCGAGAGTGTGCATGCATGCATCTTTTAGAAAGTAATGACTTTAGGTTGTTACTGGAAATTATAAGGTTGCTTGTTGTTTTTGCTTCTGTACCTTTAAGACTTATGTATAACACAATATGCAGATGATCTCTGTTATGATTGGCTAACCTCTGTTTAGAATCATAGTGCACACTGTTATTCATCAGAGCACCTCAAGTTGCTGAATACTAATTAACTCTTAATATGCATGAACAAAAGTATTGTAACAGTGCTGTTGACCCTTGACCTTTAACCTTAGATTGTGTTTGACGAGTGCCATAAGGCTAAAAATGCGACCTCCACCAAGATGGGTAAAGCAGTCCTGGACTTGCAGAGCAAACTGCCCCGGGCGAGAGTGGTGTATGCTAGTGCCACAGGTGGGTGTTTCTAATAGTTTTTAATGTTTTTTGAAGAAGTCTCTTCTGCTCATCAAGGCTACATTTATTTGATCCAAAATACAGCAAAAACAGTATTGTGGAATATTATTACAATTTAAAATAACGTCTTTCTATTTGACTATATAGTAAAATATAATTTATTCCTGTGATGCGCAGCTGTATTTTCAGCATCATGACTCCAGTCTTCAGTGTCACATGATCTTCAGAAATCAGTCTAATATGCTGATTTGCTGCTCAAGAAACATTTCTGATTATTATCAATGTTGAAAACAGCCCAATATTTTTCTGGAAACGGTGATACATTTTATTTTCAGGATTCTTTGATAAATAGAAAGTTCAAAAGAACAGCATTTATTTGAAATAGAAATCTTTTGTAACATTATTATAAATGCCTTTACTGTCACTTTTGATCAATTTAATGCGTTAAAAGGGTTAATTTAATAAATCTTAAAGCTTTTTATATTCAGCTTTGCTGTCACAGGAATAAATTACTTTAAATAATTGACATTATTTTCAAATATATTCAAATAGAAAAAAATGAAAATTGTAACAATATTTCACAATATTGTAATTTTTTACTGTTTTTTTTAAGCAAATAAATGCAGCCTTGGTGTGCATAGTTTTATATTTTATATTTTCATTTTAATATATATTTTTTTTTCTTTTTTGTTAGTTTTAGTATTACATATGTCTATATACTTTTTATAAATTTGTAGTTTTAGGTATGTTAGTACATTAAGTTTAACTAAATGAAAATGAAAAATGTTGCTTGACAACTAGCTGAAATAAAATAAGTATTAATAAATATTGTATTTTATTTCAGTTAATTTTTTTTTTTTTTTTAAGTTACAAAGGTTTTTTTTTTTATGTTTAGTTCTTTTTGATTTGGATGATTGGTTATTTTCCAAAGAAAACCGTTGCCAAATCCCCTTAAAAATGGTTCATTATGGTTTCATGCATTCTGAGCTATTGGTCTTTGTGGATTAATGAGACCTGATTTTTCTGCCTTCATTCTCATTCTCCAGGTGCGTCTGAGCCAAAGAATATGATATACATGAGCCGACTGGGGATCTGGGGGCAAGGAACGCCGTTCAGGGCGTTTGATGACTTCCTGCATGCTATTGAGAAGAGGTCAGAGTTCATGCTCAGGATCACAATGGTCTGTTTTATCTGATGAAAATCTTCATATTCTCTCATAAACATTTACTCATGTTCATGTTCCAGGGGTGTTGGCGCCATGGAGATTGTTGCAATGGATATGAAAGTGAGTGGCATGTACATCGCACGGCAGCTGAGCTTTTCCGGCGTGTCCTTCCGCATAGAGGAGATTACACTGGACGAAGAGTTCAAACTGGTCTACAACAAAGCAGCTAGACTGGTGAGAGAAACACTTGTGTTGTGTCGAATCACTTTGTCCCAAATAATGTATGAAGCAGTAGTTAAAATGTTTCTTTCTCTGTCTAGTGGGCCGAGGCTCTCGAGCTGTTCACCAGAGCTGCGGATACGCTGGGTCTGGCCTCCCGTAAGTCTCTGTGGGGTCAGTTCTGGGCATCACACCAGAGGTTTTTTAAGTACCTCTGCATCGCCGCTAAAGTCCGTCGACTGGTTGATCTCGCTCATACTGAGATGCAGCACGGCAAGGTGAGTCAGTGATTAAGATTTGTGCCTTTGCTCGTTAAGAAGAGGTTTTACTGGGTTTTGGATATCCTTATCCTTACCCCATAAATATTAGTAATTTTATAGCTGTACTATTAAAAAAATGTGTATATATGTGTATATATATATATATATAGATAAAAAGATATTACATATTATGATAGTAATATATAAAATATTACAGTGATATTTCTTATTGTCTACTTTTTTTTTTTTAACATTTAGTAATAATATAATAATTGCTATTATTGTTGTTTTATAGTCATTTCAATATATAATAATAATAATAATAATGATAATAATTTACTATTATTATTGTTGCCATTTTATAGTCTTATCAGTATGTAATCACACAATTTCTGGCCAAACAAATAAGCACAGCAAACCTGGCACTTTTACATGAGAGATGCAATTTTTATCAGGAACAAACTATTTAAAAATCACCTAAATGTATTTTAGATTTTTTTATAGTATTAACCTTAAATGTCTTATATAGTTTCTTGTCTATTGTATGTTACGTTATTTAATTAGTTTTTGCCATCAAGCTAGCCTTGCTGGCATTAAAAAATTAAATAAAATACAAACTTTCTTTTTCCCCGTGCAAATCATGCAGCCCTTCCCAGTAATCACAGATGACTGGAAGGTTAACTTCATTGTGGGAGCCCTGTATTAAGTGTTTCACTAATTGTGCTAAATGTGGCTCCGCCCACTCTCCGTGTCATTTCAAACAGTGCATCGTGATTGGCCTGCAGTCCACTGGAGAGGCTCGTACTCGAGAGCTCCTGGACGAGAACGACGGACACCTGGACAGATTCGTCTCCGCTGCTGAGTGAGTGTCTCAAAGTCCATTTCCCACGGGCAACTAGTGCAACGTCTGTCTTCTTCATTGGGGAAAGACTGAAATCTCCCACAAATCACCAGTAGACCAATCAGAATCAAGTATTCCAGAGAACCTTATAATAATCAATATAAAGGGTAAATAGCTCTGTGGTTATGTGTCACTGTAGGTGACCTGGATTGAGATTTGTGGGTTTTGTCCTGTAGGGGTGTTTTCCAGTCATTAGTTCAGAAACACTTTCCAACACAGAAACCTAAAAGAGAGAAAAGCGCCGCAAGCAAGAGGAAACGTGAGTCACATCGTCTTGTGCTGTATCAAGCATTATTCTGTCTCTGGGGTTTGGGTCTGTGGGTTTTTGTGCATCATGAATCTTTCTGAAAGCAATTCTTTGCCTTCTGAAGGAAAACCCAGAGGCCGGACTTCAAAATTTCCAAAGCACTGTGTGGAAGTGGGCGGGGTTATTAAAATCAGCGATGACTCTGACTCTGACTCGGATGAGATTGACAGCGACTCTAACTCCTCCCCTGATTCACTACAGGACAGTGATGATGTGATTTTCGTGAACCACATCAATGGACCTGCTGGTAGGTTGACATAAATGCAACTGTTTTTCAGAAGAATTTGCTCATGCCTTCCTGTTCATTCAGGAAATGAAACGCTGACAGAGTGCAAATGTAGCTCACACTTAGGGCTGCACAGGATGAAGAAAAGCTTTTGGCTTCTCTTCTGAGGCCACAAGAGGGCGCATCGAGCAAAATATTACTAAATTATAATTAAGTTGCTTAAACAACTATAAACAAAACAGCTTCATGTATGTATAGTTTAATACAAAGGGCGGAAAGCTAATCACGCAGAGTACATTTTTCATTTAAAAACATGAGATGCAGTGGGATGGG